CAATAAGAATCACACAAAGGACATGAAGATTAGATCAGAAAGGAAGCACAATCAAAATACACAAATATTTAACTTCATTAACAGTCAAGGAAAAGACGGGTGTGCATTTGTTTATTCAATACACAGAGAGCAATTTCTACCACTTCCTAAATGTACTTAAATGTGCTATTTTAATATAAAAACCAAGTCATTAAAAAAAAAAGACAGTATGAAAATTTGTGCCAATACAGAAATCATAAAAAGCGTTAAAATAAATCAAAACTTGTAAAGACAGCAAGAGTCAGATACCTGGAAGCCAATTCTTTTTGCCTTGGTTCCTGAGTGTTATTATGGGACTGTCAATAAAGAAAAAAGGGGTTCCTGACTTACACTGCCCATCTCCCACATAGAGGGGATGTACTGTTAGTATGTGTATGTGTGTATAATATATACCTATATTGTTGTCATGTGCCTGAAGTTAGAACATACTCATAGCTGACCCTCTGTGGGTTTTCAGAAGCTGTAAATTCCCCAGGACAAGACTGCCTTTCTTGCTCGGAGCAGCTGGTGGATAGCTTGTAGGTCTGAATTGTGTGCCTTTGGGTTGACATCGCAACACCTTAGGCCACCAGAGGTATCTATATATACACATAAGACACATACAACATACATATACAATAGAAAAGAAGTCCAGAAAGGGCCTTCATAATCACTCACTACAGAGGACTCTTATTATTCCATCTGTTGGTAAGATTCCATTAAGAGATCTGCTCATGTGGTTGCCAAGCAGTAGAGAAGAGCCTTGGTATTGAAGAGGCTGAAGATTTGCTTTAGTGCTGCCTGCAGGACAGATGTATACTAGGCTTTTAGTGGCTGGTGTTTCAGGGAATCTGAAGCTGGTCCTGTCTTTTAGATATGACAGAAAGGACACGTTTCTGATTTGTCGTAAAAGACTTTTCTTTCCTGCTTACTCAGGTACAGCCCTGAGGCAAGTCACACAGCTGTCAGGACACACAAAGGCAAAGGCAGCACCAGGGCAATGGCCCCAAGTCACAAAGTAATGGCATTGTTAGGCTTGCTAAATTGCTAGAATGCCTCCCAAGTTCTTTAACTTTTGTTCAGAAGACTGCTTTGTTTTTTCCCCTTAAGTTTTACTGAAGAAAAAAAATTAAAATAGTGAAACCTAAATTTAGTGAGTAAAAAGAATTTTTGAAATTCTGGCTTTGCTAAATAACCTACAACAAATAAATATGTTACATCAACATCAAAGCAGGAAAATAATCCAAGTTTCATATCATGAAGCCATTTAGTCAAATGACATATCTGGTCATCAATTTAATGTTATAGCCCTTATTACCTACATTCAGTATTACAGAGTATTACATAGACATTTATTCTCTAGTACTTAATTCCCATCTGAATAGCCTATTTGTGGGGGGAAAATGCAAAAACTATTACGTAGAGCTTAAACGAAAATGAATTTTAAAAGTTATGCATGTGTGTTTTTCTTTCTCTAGAAAGTGTTATTAACAGCTGACTTTGGGCATTTTTGAGCTAATATTTCCAATTTATTGTTTTTCAAGTCTTCCTAAGAAATGCCATAGTCTCAATCCACAGAGTTTGGTGAGCTGACAGATGCCAAAAATTATGAAGAGAGAGAGGAAGCTACTACTACTTGGCAACCTTTTATTTTTGTCTTAGGTTGCAACATGCTGCCTCCCTCTTGTTCTACAGTCAAGGATGAAAACTTTGAACTCTGAAGCATAATGAACAGAGTTATGTTTACTACAATCACCTGTAATGTGATTTACACAGCACTGCAAAAAGGACATCTAATTTAAACATTTTCCACACATCTCTTTTCATTTGTTAAAACAGCTGGCTACATGGAATATATTTTTGGAATGCATTTGTTAGCTACTTGATAAAAATACTAAGCCAAATAGCACACATCAGTTAGCTTTTTATCTAATAACTGTACCAAGCATTTTAAGAAGAGATACAACTGAAGGAAAAAATAGAACATCCATGATGCACTGCAAAGGTCTCAGGTCGTAAGTCCTAGGAATGATCTGAAGGTGCTGAAAGAGGAGATTCTCTAGACGGTGACCCGGGGTTTTCTTCAGGTGGAAAAACCGTGAGGGTACAAGCCCGGATGCCGCCAAGTGACTCCGGAAGGTCAAAAACTTTGTGCCACTCATCTTTCTCTGGGTCGTATTTCTGGACAATTTCCACCATGCAACGATTATTCCAAGAATACCCACCAACAACATATATTTTATTTTCAAAGACGGCAACTCCAACATCACTCTGACCCCTTAACATAGCAGCAATCGGTGTCCACTGGTCAAGGGTCGGTGAATAGTATTCACAGCTTAGAACGTCATCATAGTCGCTTGTCCCCCTGAAGTGATTGCCACCAATGACATAAAGTTTGTCTCCAACCGTGCACATGCAATGCAGGCCTCGGACAGTCGTCATTGGCGCTTTCTGTGTCCATTTGTCTGTGTCAGGGTCAAAGCACATGAGCTCATTTTGGAAAGTATCGTGGGTGATGCCTCCTGAAATGTACATTAAGCCCCCGTACACTGTCCCCGCGTGGCCGTAGTGAGGTTCGCTCATTTTTGCCACATAGCTCCACTCATTCATTCTGGGGTTGTAACATTCTACTGTGGCCAGTTCACCAGCTGCGCTGCGCCCACCAACCGCATACAAATGTCCCTTGAGGGCGCTCAAGTGGAAGAAGGTGCGCTTTTCATTTAACGAAGCAACTTGCATCCACTTATTATACCTCGGATCAAATCGAAACACCGTATCGACAGCGGTTTTGCCTTTCGTGTCGTAATTACTCTGACCTCCAACTACATAAAGAAAGTTCCCGATGACGGCAATGCCGTGCTGGTACCGAGGGGCATCCATGGGGGCTAAGGATTTCCACTCTTGCGCCCTCTCATCATACATTCTTAATTCTTTACTGACAACCAGCTGCTGCCTCAAAACTCCTCCCAGAGTAACCAAGTGAGTGGAGTCGGATCGGATGGCAGTTCTGTCTGACTGCATCACCGGCTGCATATACGGCATCATCTGGTAATTGCTAGCCTCCAAGAGCAAATTCACACAGGTGTTATCCGTTCTCATGAAATCCACAGTCTGTACATAATTGATGAGGTCCTGCGGTGTCATCAGTGGAAATCGGATGTTCTTCATTAATTTTGCGGCATAATCCATGCGCGGGTCTTCCAACCTTAGCCAGCGACAGGCGGCCTTGAAAAGTTCAAGTTCAGAGCAGTGCTTCAGGCTGTTACTGGAAAGCACAAAGGCCAGCCTTTCAAAGGGAAGCTTGAGGAACTCCCCGGTACTCAACAAGGCCGGGAAATTCTTGAGGATGAAGTTATTGACGTATTTGTCCACTTCGATAAGGTTGTAGGTGTTGGCAATCCGCCCCACCTCCACACAGTTATCCAAAGACACCCCTGAGATCAGAAAGACTTTACAGAAGTCCAGAACGGGTAAAATCTGCAGGAAGCTGGCAGCCTCCAGTGTGTCTTGAAGGTTGTCCATATTCAGAGAAAGCTTTGCTGTATAGATGAAATCGATGATCTTCTTCAGCCCAACCTTGTTCACCCCATGAAGCTTAATGCACATCAAATCCTGTTCTTTCATGCCCCCTGTGAACATGGCTTTGAAATAATCACTGGCAGACGCCATCATAGCGCGGTGGACAGGGAAGATCTCGTCCCCGTCCCCGGGCACTAGAGTCACATCGCAAAGCAATCCTTCTATTCTAAGCTGATCGAAGCCTTGCAAAACCACCGAGCTGTGCGTATTGCTGGTGAAAAACCGCGTGGTCCCGGCCTTGCAGGGCTGCAAATGGGCAGAGACGCCCATTTCACCGTTGCCAAGCGACACTTTCATGGGCGCACCTTCCGCTTTGCACAACACGGTGTGTACGGGCTGCAGAAGGCAGGTGTGTTCAAGGAGCCGAGGACATGCACGGGGCCAGCCGGTCAGCTGGCTTTTCCCGACTAACAAGGGCCCGCGGTCGCGCAGCCGCCCCTCGGGGCACAGCTGTCACTCATGCACCAAGAACTGTTTCGGGGGACCACACAGCGCCACGGACCTCAGAGCTGATTATTAGGCAGCTGAGTCATCCCCCGCAGGCAATGAAATGACCCGGTTCACCTCGTCCGGCCCGCGCCGCCGCGCCTTCGCCAGGCCCGCTCCGAGCCGAGAGCGGGGGAGGCGCCGCCACGTCCTGCAGCTCCGCGGCGAGGCCGGGACCTCCGCCAGCGGCCCGCTGTCCCCTCCGCTGTCCCCTCTGCTGTCCTCAGTGAGTCGCCGCGGCCGCAGGCCAAGCTCTGCGCAGGGAGCTGCGACGATGGCCTAGGCCGTGGCCTGGACAGCGGAGCGAGCGGTGGACGCCGACCGAGTCCTTCCGGAAAAGCTGGGCCTCCGGATTCCGAGAGCTAGGAGCGGCCGGGATGCGACTGCGGCTGCGCGCCCTTCTGACCTCGCCACTGCGCAGGCGCGGGGTGGGGGGTGTGGAGGGGCGAGGGAGTGCGCCAGGGGCGGGGCCGCGGCGCTATGCACTGCCTCACTCTCGGCCAGCGAGTGCGGGGCCAAGTGGGTCAGGGGTTCGCTGTCCTTATTGGCTGGGTCTGTGCTTAAGTTCACACCGATTAGCTTCTGTCTTGTAAATGACAAGGAAACCCAGCCAGTTTTAGGTGGAAAGAAAATGCGGCAGAGAGGAGGATGAAAGGAAGAGAATGGTTTTTTTTCTTTATAAAATACTATAATTTTATTTCCCCCAACGCAATTTAAAGACTCAATTATAAATTTTGTTCAAATTTTCAAAGATATTGTTTGAAACATATCTCTTTTTACGAAGTTGTGACACTGCGATGTAAATAAGACATTCTGAATTTTTTTACTCACTGCAAGTCTTTGATTAAAAAAATTGGCTTTCATACTTCCCATTTTCCATTAGCAATTTTAAAAAGGCTACATCAGTTTTTAACAATTGTATACACACACGTATACACACACATATATACACACACATATCTATACACACACATAGATATATATATATAATACTATTCTAAGAATTGGCTGAGAGAACTATTTCAGGAAGTAGCATACAATCAAGAACTTGGTAATAAAGGAGGAAGTTCAAGCTGCAATGAAGGCATTGGCAAAATATAGTGCTCTAGGAATTAATGGAATACCAGTTGACGTGATTTAGCCGATATATAGCCTTGGATGTGCTCATTAATCTATGCTAAGAAATTTGGAAGACAGTTACCTACCTGGCCAACTGACTTGAAAAAAAAATAAGTATTTGTTTCTATCACAAAAAACCAGGTGGAAATTCCCAATAATACTGTTAATTATCATGTACAAGTAAACTTTTGCTAAAGATTGCCCGAAAGCAGAACAATACCTTGATAGAGAATTTCCAGACATTCAAGATGAATTTAGAAGAGGTTATAGCACCCATGGTATCACAACTTATGTCAGATAGATCTTGCAAGAGAGCAGAGTATACCAGAAAGATGTCTCTGTGTTTTATTGACTACACAAAGACATTTGACTGTGTGGATGACAACAAATTAGGGCTAACACTCAGAAGAGTAGGAATCTCAGAGCACTTAATTGTGCTCATATGAAATCTATACGTAGACCAAGAAGCTGTTCTTTGAACAGAGCAAGGGAATGCTACATAGCATAAAACAATAAAAGATGTGCTTCAGGACTGTATCCTTTCTCCATACCTATGCAATCTATATAATGAGCATATAAATCAAGAAGCCTGATTTTATGAGGCATCAGGATCTGAAGAAGACTCATTAACAACCTGTGTTATGCAGATGACAAAACCTTGCTTGCTGCAGGTGTAGAGGACTTGAAATACTTGCTGCAGAAGGTCAAAGACTACAGCCTTCAATATGGATTACATCTCAATATCAAGAAAACAAATTCTTACTCCTAGACCAGTAAACAAAATCATGATAAATGCAGATAAGATTGAAATTGTGAACAATTTCATAGATTGAAATTGTCAACAATTTCATCTCGCTTGGAACCACAATCAACCCCCTAGTACAAGCAGTCAAGAAATCAAAGATGTGTTGCATTGAGAAAATCTGCTGTCAAGGGACCTCTCCAAAGTGCTAAAGATGGAACACTATGCAGCATACAGGAACAATGATTTTGTAAATTACTACCTAACTGGGGAAGGACTGGAGAGGATTATGCTGAGTGAGCCAACTCAGTCCTATAAGGACAAATATTGTATAAGACTATTATTGTAGAATGAGGGGAAGAGGGCAGAGGTGTTTAATTAAAGGGTCATATAATTTGGTGGGTGGAAGGAGGGGTGGATGAAACAAATGGTAAAAGTCTGGTATGAAAAACAATGTATACGAACTTTGTAAATAAACCAGTATATACAAAGTGCTGAAGAACAAGGATGTCAAAAAAAGCAAGGATGTCAACTTAAAAGACTAACGTGCACCTGGACAGAGCCAGGGTCTTTTTGATTCCATCTGAAATTTGGACATTGAATAAGGATAACAGAGAATAATAATCGATACCTGTAAGTTGTGCACTGCAAAAATAACAAACAAATATGTCTTGGAGAAAGTGCAATCAGGGTGTTCCTTAGAGGCAAGGATGGTGAAACTACATCTCACATACTTTGGAGAATGTTGTTAGAAGGGGCCAATCCTTGGAAAAAGGTATCATGCTTTGAAAGGCAGAGGGTCAGAGAAAAAAGAGGCAGACCTTCAATAGGACAGTTTAGCACAGTGACTGAAACAATGGATCTAACTATATCAGATGTGACGAGGATGGCACCGCAGAGAGCAGGGCTCAGATCTTTTATTCATGGGGTTGCTATGAGTTGTAGTCTGCTCAATGGCACCTAAAAACAATGCATGCTAAAAGGGAGCTCTGCTGGGTTAAAGGCAAGGAATTTTATTGCCAACCCAAAGTCCTCTGGTTCAAATCCACCAGCTGCTCTGCGTGAGTGAGATAGGCCATTTCCCCTCATGGCATTTACTAGTGGGGAGACAGGATCAGATATCAGTCACACAGTACATAACAACAACAATACAGGTTGTAGTTTCCTTTGCCCATTTTTAATTTGTTCTTGGGTATGTAAATTCTTGCCCATTGTCTTATAGAATCTGTAAAAAACTTACAGAATCTGGACTCAACATAATCATTGTCTCACCAGTGCAAAAAAAAAAAAAAAAGGAATATTTTTGTCTTGTTAAAATTTTTTCAATGGATCATTTGGAGTAAAAATTCATAATTATATTTGGTTTTAGTTCAATTATTTTTAGATATTTTTGTTTTGGAATAACATTAACTCTAATTGCTTATAGTAATTAATTACAGTGTCTAACCAGATGCTTAGCTTTGATGGTCTAGTGCTAAGGAACTGCACTGCCAACCAAAAGGCAAGTGGTTTGAATCCACCAGCTACTTTTCAGGAGAAGGAGGCATTTTGTTGTCATTTGGTGTCATTGTGTCAAGTACAACTCATAAAGACCCTATGAACAGATCTGAACCCTGTCTTATCCTGTACCATCCTCACCATTTCTCACAAATCTGAGCTCATTGCTGCAATCACAATGTCAATCCATCTCGTTGAGGGTCTTCCTGTCTTTCCCTCACCCTATGTCTTTCCAAGCATTATGTCATTTTCCCCCCTTTTTTTCATTATGTCCTTTTCTAAGGAATGGCTTTTGCTAGCAACATGGTCAAAGTATATGGGAGGAAGCCTTGCCATCCTTGCCTCCAAGGAGCATTCTAACTGCACATGAACTTCTTCCTTTGTTACCAGTGGTACTTGATCATATCCTCCTTCCTAGGATGACTATTTATCAGCCAATTCTTTTTTTGAGGGAGTGGAGATACGGTGACTTTGTATGTTCCATCCACTTTCTTTGATGCTTCCTGCAGCATTCAAGATTTTGCTCAGAGTATCCTTCAGTGTTGCAATGCTATGCTTGAGTTTATTTTCAGTTTGAGAAATGCCAAACAAGTTCTTCCCTTCTTATTCTCCCAACCCCAGCTCTTTGCACATTTCAATATTTGATTTTTTTTTCCTTCTGGAGTTGTTATGTGCCATCAAGTTACCTGTGACTCATAGCTCTAATCCTGAGCCAATGTCATCGTCTTTGACAGACCTATTCCTATTTCTTTAGTCACTCACTGAGTTGATCCATCTCATCCAGGGTCTTCCTCTCCTGTGTTGTCCCTCCACACTTCTAAGCATGATGTCCCTCTCTGAGGATTTGTCCCTCCCAGCCACGTGTCCAAATATGTGAGATGGAGCTTCAATAGCCTTGCCTCCAGGAAGCAGCGTGTTTTCTCCCTCTCCAGGACAGACCTATTTGTTCTATTGGTATTCCATGGCATATCCAACACTCTTCTCCAACACCACACTTCAAAGGTATCATTCCTTCTTCTATCATCCATAGTTACTGTCCAGCTCTCCAGAATGGATTTCACCTGATGGTATGTGTCGGAATAAGATCGATTACATTGCTTCAGAAGCTCAATATCCACTGTGAAAACTAGGCCAGGTGCTGACTGTGCAACAGACCACCAACTACTCATGTGCAAGTTCAAGCTGAAGCTAAGGGAAATTAAGTCGAATCCATGGGAAGCAAAATATGACCCTACCTGAATTTCAAAACCATCTCAGGAACAGGTTTGAGGCCTTGAACACTAATGAGCAAAGACCAGACGAGCTGTGGGAGAATGTAAAAAAATATCATCCAGGAAGAATACAAAAGGTCATTGCAAAGATAGAGGAGGAAGAAAAGACCAAGATGGATGTCAGAAGAAACGGAATATTGCATTAGAGCACCGAGAAGCCAAAGCAAAGAGAAGAAATGAAGATA